GCGGCCCTGTCTCAAAACTATATATGTCGGCATACAGCTCCATGCTCTCCCCTAAGGAAAGTCACGATGCCTCTACCCAGTGCTCCATGGACTAGGACTCCTTGCCTGGCCTCATTTAATCCCTTAGCAGGGGCAGAGAGGGCAGCTATTTCAAATGGCCAAGAAGGAGAGAAGAAGCAGAGAGACCCTTAAAGGGGAATATTCATTGCCAACAGCTGCCTTTAGGGTTTAAGACACATCTCCATCTTCTTGCCTTTCCCCCTTGGTTCCCCATGTGATCTGGCCACGGGCTGGATTGATACCTTCTGATCTAGCTTCCCGACGGTCGTTTTCTTAGAAATTTGAGTGTGCTGCATCAGCGCAGAAGGAAGCTACTTCCAAGGGTGGTCTCTTGACCACCTGTGTCAGTTACCCATAGTCCAGTTCAGCACTTCATAACCCATGGGCCTATGCGAAAGAAATGCTGGGGTGTGCCTTTTGAGATGTGTCTCAAACCCTAGAGCAGCTGTTGGCAATGCAGTGCCAGGCAAGCACGGAGTCAACAGAGCACAGGACGAGACCAGCTGAGAGAGGTGCTCACACACGTCCGTCCCTGCTCTGCGGGGAAGCCAAGCAACAACGGCAGAGCCACACACTGTTACCCACGGAAGTGAACAAGACCTGTGTGACCAACAGAATGGTCCCTTAACACCCCTAGGCCAATACCCGAGCAGATGGCTTTGTTTCTAATCTTCAGAGCCAGGCCGTGGGGATGGCACAGTCTGAAGAGTGTTTGCCTCGCAAGCTTGAAGTCCTGAGTTTGATCTCCAAAACCCAGGTTCAAAAATAACAACAACAAAAAGCTGGGCATAGTGGCGTATGACTGGAGTCCCAGCACTGGGAAGATGGAGGCAGGTGGATATCTGGGACTCACTGGCTAGCTAGCCTTGACTGCTAGGAAAGTTCCAGGTCAGTGAGAGACAGTCAAAGAAAAAAAAGCGGGGTGGGGTGAACAGTGCCTGAGCAACAAAACCTAAGGTTGACCTCTGGCCTACATACACACACACACACACACACACACACACACACACACACACCTACCAGGCCTCCTTACAGTCTCTTTACATTCTAGGCTCGCTCCCCATCAGAAAACATCCCACCTTGTCCGTAAAACCACAGCCTGCAGCCACACCTGGCGAGCTGGTCCCAGTCCAGACTATGCCTGTAGGCTGCCAGGCCTTTACTCTGCAGGAATGTCCTTGAGCCCAGGCCGGCCTCATACACCTGGCACTGGATGCTTAGGTGAGCAGTCAACTCCGGGCAACATTCCCTGGCATCTGTCCCCACCCTCTTTCTCATCACTCCCCGGGTTAATTACCCCTCCTTTGCAGTACACTGAGCATTTTGCCCAAGCTACCGTAACCAACCCAGGCTGGAGTCCTACAAATGTCATACGTGATGTGTATGCCTGTGTATGGTATGTACTTGTGGGAGTGTACGTGCCAGCAGAAACATGAAGAAGGCATTGTGTCCCCTGGAGTTAAACTTAAAGATGTTTGTGAGATGCCCAATGTGGGTCCCGGGCACTGAATTTGGGTCCTCTTCTATTAAAGCAATAAGTTCTCGTAACCCCTGAGCCATCTCTCCAGCCCCCATATGTGACAGCCTTCATCACCACCTCACATATAGCGTCCCCCCAATGAATGGGAGCCCCCATATTGGGAACGACAGTAAACGTTATTGGAATGTTGGTACCAGCAAACCTAGGGCCCAGAGCTGGTGACCAGGAGCTCAGAGCGGATGAGCAAGGTCCAGCTCTTGCTGGCATTTGTAGACACACTTGCTGATTCTCTCCTGGAGTCTTGGGTGACAGCTTATCCCTGTCTCTGGATAGGACCAACAGGACCCCTGAGGCCCACCAGCATCAGAGCACTCACTGTCCCCTCAAAGCTGCATGTGGCCCTCTAAAGTTCCCTAACCGTGGAGTTCCCATAAACGTCACCCTCTGTTAGGCTGAAGTTGATACGCAGCCCCAGACGCATTGCCCTTTACAGCTGTTCCTTTGTGGTTGTTCCCTTGTTAAGTTTTGAAGCAGGGCTGCCCCAAAGGCACCGCGTCCGAGACCGTCAGCAGATAATCCTCTCTGGGACTTGAACGCGCAAATCCTGGGCACCATACCTGACTTCCTCACCAAGGGCTTTCCCTCAGGAGTCACCAAGGGACAGCTTACAGGCCCATGGGTCCAGAACATTTTCACTAGCCCTCTTTTAAAGCCTACAGGGAGTAGTCTGGGCATCAGCAGAGATGACAGGCCTGCTTCCAGGCAGGGAAAGGTGACCAGAGGGCAGGTACATGTCCAGGAATTGGCTAGAGTGGTGGTTCTCAACCTGTGGGTCACAACCCCTTTAGGGTCTAATGACCCTTGCAGAGGGGTCGCATAGCAGATATCCTGCACATCAGATATTTATGTTACAATCCATAACAGTAGCAAAAACTACAATGATGAAGTAGCAACGAAGTAATATCATAGCTGGGGGGTCACCATAGCATGAGGGACTGTATTACAGGGTCGCAGCATTAGCAAGCTTGAGAACCGCTGCCCCAGAGCATGAGCTAGCACAAAGGGGACCTGCTCTCTCTGGTTTAAAACCAGCCTCTCATCCTGGGAGAGAGGACAGACATGACAAGTTCAAACGGGTGATGAACTACATCATCTACACTGGTCAGTGTAGCAGGGAGACCAGCTTGCCCGGAGGGACTTCCCAAATAGTCCAGGGCTCTGGGGACCACCATCTTCATGACAAGGAGTCTTCACTCAAGTCTCTTCCCCAGGACAGCGCTGCCAAAAGGAAGGAGAAAACTCCCTTCCCAAAGCCAGCTTCTGTCAAGGTGCCAGGAGCTTATCTGAGAAAACAAGGGGTCATCTGTGTCCCCGATCCTCCTAGGCTCTCCCGGAAGCCATTATCTGCCTGAACCTCCACCCCCAGCTTGCCTTCAGTGCCAATCTGGTCTTGGTAGTAATATTTGCAATTTCATAGGACACTTACGAATCATGCCAAAACACAATCAATGTCCATATGTGTCCTGCAGTAGGGGGTGATTGCAGATCCCCCACTGAGTAACACAGGAGGGGACTCTGGAGAAAAGACTGAAAAGTGATGTTTGTTTGTTTGTTTTACATAACAATCTTAGAAGAAGCCAGACACATATAAACAATATCTACCAAGTTTTCTAATTCACTACACCAGCCATTGTATATTTATAAACATTTCATAAGTGTTCGGAAGTATGTTTGAAGGGAAATGTGAGAACATATAAATATTTTACATGTGGTTAGACCCTTTTAGAGAAAATATCCCCGGAAGCAATTAAAGCAGCTAGCCCACGGGCCTATTTCACTTTATTCCAGAATTTTTTTTTTTGGGGGGGGGGTACGGGCATTCCTCCCACAAACGTTAGATTCTACCATGCACTAAACACTCATCTATCATTTTTAGCACGTAATAATTGAATTGGGTTTTAGCCTATCTGCCCAGAGACCACTCACTCTTTGGAACGTTTGCTCCAAAGGTAGAGAGCTGGAGGGAGGGGATGGGAAGGGCTTCATTTTTTCAAATGCATCAAGATCCAACTGAAGTTCCCGCTCCTCATTCCCAGTGAATAACACTAGTGTTCAGTCAGAAGGCAGCATTGGGGGGCGGGGGTGGCCTGCATCTGGAGAGCTCCCAGCCTTTCCTGATGGTGTGGATGAACCCTCAGGACAAATTTAATCCCTAGTTTAAACACATGTGCACGTGCTCACACACACACACACACACACACACACACACACAAAAAAAAAAAAAAAAAAAAAAAAAAAAAAAAGCATCACTTTCCTTGCATATTCCCTGAGATGCAGAAGTAGTCTTTGATACGACACACACATCTGCCATGGTTGGGGTAGAAATTCGGGGGGGGGGGGTCCTGTTTGTCTTATGGGACCTCCCCCCAACACACACCCCGAGATCCCAGCAAATCCAGAGTCTGTGCAACTTTAATATTTAAAATGTGTCAACCAGCTATGGTGGGAGAGGGAAACCCCGCCTGCTACTGGAGGGACACGTGCAGACGTGTCGGCCTTGGTGACAGGCGCTTAAGGCTGGCTACTAGGTGGGTTTGAACAAGACAGATGAGAGAGATGAGAAAGCTCGCTGTGGTGGGCCTTAGGACCAGTCAGAAGCAGAAGCAGTCCGGGTGCCTGAGGAGGCACAGACATCGCTGAAGGAATTGCCAGGCTCCCTCCTTTTTCGGAAATAACTATTCCCAGGTGCAACCTGGACATTTCAACGCTGTCCCTGAAGGGCTTCTGCCCCTCAGGAGAAGAACACCCACCCACACGTAAAAAGAGCTCCTGGTGTCCCCAGCCCCGCAGCCAGCTGCAGTTCCTGACCTGCTCAGCCCTCCATGGCAACAGTTTCCCAGCCAGAGGAGTAACGCAGACACCTCTTGGGAGGGTGCTCTGTAGGGCGGGCAGCTCAGGAGCCACATCCAAGGAGTCTCCTAAGCTGACCCTGGCAGCCCGGGCACAGCATGGGGTGGCGGGAGATGGGGCCAAGAGCAAAAACAGCCAGCCATCATCAGCTTCAAAAGATCACAGGAGAGAGAAACTTCCCTAGGGCACCGGCCAGGCTGCATGACCTGGTCTTAAACAGCATCCTGAATCCCAGGGACAGGTGTGCAGGGCTGGGTAAAAGACTCAGACTTGGGGCACCCGAGCTAGGGGCCGCCAGACACGCATCCAGACTAGGGGCTACTATGGAAGCAGGTCCCAGTCCCAGGCAGGCATGCTAGGATCACTGTGCACCAAGGGTCCCAAGAAAAGGAAGAGAGGGTTTATTTTGATCCCACAGGGAACATCCCAAGCACCAACCGAGAAGAGATCCTCGAACCCAGGCCCCAGAGGGATGCAGCAGCTCAAAAAAAGTTGGGGCTCCCAGAGGCTATGTCTTTTGGGTCCCCTCCCGCGGCGCACCACTACTTACACGAAGACCCCAAAGAGCAGGGCTCGCACCCCGATCTCGATGGCCAGCTCCCGCATGGTGCAGCCGGAGTAGCTCCCGCAGCAGCAGCTGGCGCTGTCCGTGGCTCCCACGGCTCGGCCCGAGCGGCTCGCCAGAGCCTGGGCGGTGAGGGAGGCGCGCTGCAGGCCGCGGGCGGGGGCGGGAGGCGGGCGCGGGGTGGGGGTAGCGGGGAGGGTTCAGCCCCAATCTCCCGCTCTGGGCTCCCGGATACCCAGACACCACACCGGCCGCTCCAGGTCCCACTCGCGATCCCGCCGATCGGGGGCGCCTCCGGGACTCCCTTCTCCTTTGCGCCCAGTGCAGTTTCTGTATTCTGGGCTCCAGCCTGGCACCTGCGACCCGGGAGGGGAAGCCTGGGGAAGCCCCGCTGTTGTAACCGCGGCCTCCCGTGCGCGCTGCGTGGCTTCCCAGCTACTGGGCGGCCCCTGGGCTCTGCGCCCGCCCGGCAGCACGCTCTGCCGGCGTTCCCTGTGCGCCTCCTCTCCAGCCCGCGACTCCGGCTCCTGCTCTCTGCTCCTTCCACACACGCCCGCACGTGGGCATGAAGTAGATGGGTGCTTTGGGGATTCTGTCGCTCAGGACATCCTCTGGCCCTACCTGTGAACACTTCTTCCTTCCCACTTTCTGGCCTCCCTACACCTTACCAACCTTAAATTCTTTCCTTTCCCACCCATGACTCTAGGAAGTTCCCACAAGATTGCTCTGGAGCTTTGCTTTCTCTCAGAAGGTGCCAGACAGGCAGACAAAAACCCTGGCACAGACTGAGCGCAAAAGTGAACCCAGGTCCCCGCCACCAGTGCTAGGTAGTATCTGGGACCCCATCTCTCCTCTCCTCCATCATCCAACTCTCCCCACCCCCAGTGGCTTTGAGCTGCTACTGTGCTGTGGATGTGAAAAGCAGCTCCTGATGCATCCCTGCCTGCACATGGCAGGCCATCATTAGGCAGCTAGGCAGCAGGTAGAAGCAGGAGCCTTGGCCCCAGGACTCAGTCAAAAATTCAAGTATAAATATCGGTGGCCTGGGGGTGGTAACCACAAGCCTGAGTCCAGCTAGGTCTTGGCTTTGCTTCCCCATCGCCTGTTGGAGTTATTAGTCATAATTGTTGGGTTGTCTCTGGGGAGCTCAAACCTTTCCTGGATTTTAGGAAAGACCTCTCCAGGATTTTATGAGTGGGGATGAATTAGAAACTGGCTTCTGGTCCTGGGCATCTGGATCTCTGACTTGGACCAAAGTAGGAGTAGGTAGAAAGCAAGCCTTGGGAGGAAGGCGTGGGCATCAGCCCAGAGTAAGCAGACCCTGTTCCCAAGGGCACATGCCAGACCTTAGATGGCTGAGCCAAGGCACCCTAGGGAGGGATCCAGGCTGTGTGGAAGGGGCACCATCCCAGCAATTGAAGACACGGGAGCAGTGGCTGCTTTGTCCATGGTACACCATGGGTGCTTGGAGTGTATTGCTGAACGAACAAATGCATGCATGACTATATAGTCATATATAGTTGGGCACGTGGGAGATCACGTGCGGGGAGATTAGGGAGGCTGTAGAAGGAAAGGAGGTCGCTCTGTGTCCCCCGTGACTTGGGCCTGGCAACTGCTATGAAGACAGCTCTCCTCCCACAGCTTGACAGAGTGGTACAGGAGACCCCTGGTGAACTCTGGTGGCCTGCAGTTGAGGCTGCCAGGTAGACGTGTTCTGGGGGGGGGGGGTGCTAACAAGGATCCTAATGTTGAGACATCAGTTAACTGTAAGCACCAACTAAGCTGCTAGGAAGAGTGGGGAGCTGGATACGAGGATGAATACTCCGCCTCTTCCCTGGAGTGGAGGGAAGTAGTGCACCGATCACACACAGAGAAGTGAGACAGGTGGGTGGGTGGTGGGGACCTCCTTGTGGCAGTCCTACTCGCCAGGGTCTGTAGTGGAGATCACAAAACGTGAACCCTGTTTATATTTGTTGTCTGTTCGAGGCATGCTGACCTCAAATCCTCTATGTAGCCTGCAAGATTGGCTTTGAACTTCTGATCCTACTGACTCTGTCTTCCAAATGCTGGGGTTATAGGCATGTGCCATCTTTATGTCATGATAAGTATTATGTCTTGCACTTCTTATTTGTAATCGAGTTACCCGGAGAAAGAATTTGAAAGGGCATGTGACCTCAAACCAAAAGAGATATGGAAACAGCCAGCCACAAGCCCTTTCATCTACAAAGGTGTCCTACCTCAAGATATGCAAGGGCAATGGTGGCACAAAGCTTGTGGGAGTAACCAACTGATGTCTGATTTGACTCAAGGCCCATTCGATGAAATGGAACCCATACCTGACACTGCTTGGGTGACCAAGAACCTGAGACAAGATAGCCCAGGGGCCCAGGGTAAAACCAAATACTACTGTTCTTAAAAAAATTAAAAGTAGCAATAAAATGACTCCTAATGACATTCTGCTGTACTCTTAGACCAGTGCCTTGCTCAGCCATCAGCAGAGAAGCTTCCTCCTGCAGCAGATGGGAACAAATACAGAGACCCACAGCCAGACATTATTCTGAGAGTGAGAGACCTTGAAACAACAGCCCTAAATGGGATGTCTACACCAAATCCTTCCACTCAGGGCTCAGAGAACCCTGGGGAAGAGGAAAGAATGTAAGAGCCAGAAGAGGGGATGAAGGACACCTCTTCCCTGGAGTAGAGGGAAGTGGAGTACCAACCACATAGACAAGTGAGACAAAATCCTCTCAATCTACATGGTCAAAGCTCATATGAACTCACAGAGACTTAGGCAGCATGCACAGGGCCTGCATGGGTCTACTCCAGGTCCATATATATATGAATTCCTGTTTAGTGTATTTGTGGGATTCCTAAGAGTGTGAACAGGCAGGACTCTGTTTCTTGTGCCTTCTCTTGGGCTATCTTTCCTAATGTTTATTGTGTCCAGTTCTGATGTGTTAGTTTTTGTTTGATCATATTATATTTTATTTCATTATTATGCTTGTTTTCTAATGAGAGACAGAAAGAGGGTGGATCCAGATGGAGGAGGAACAAAACCATAATCCGGATGTATTATGTGAGGGGGAAAGTCTATTTTCAATAAAAGGGAAAAAAGAACTTTAAAGAGCAGCCCAGTCAAGCCCCACTCCTGATTCAATGCTTGCGTGAATGCTGTGTTTTGTCATCTGAGCCTTTCTGTGCAGCTGCCCACCCTGGAAGTGGAAAAGCCGTCACCTTTGAGAGAGCTTTGTGCCCACCCCACTCCCCGCCCTGTGTTCTAGCCTTCAGACAGCTCCACTGAAAGCCTGCCTTGAAGGGAAGTCGCTACTCAGCAGCTTCTCTCAGTACAGACGTTCTGCCAGCCCTGCCGGCCCTGGTCCTGTCTCCTGGCTGTGGACAGCCACTGCGGTCAGAGCAGCCTCATAGCAAGCAACAGGTGTTCCCACCTAAATTCATATAAGGACCAATGATTGAAAGGTCTATGGTCCTATCAGCTTCGGGTTCCATTCCATTCAGATTGCAAGCAGCACCATCAGGGCTTGATTTTTTTTTCTCCAGGCTTTTAGCTATATCTGTCCTGTAAGGACTTCTTTGGACTCCTAAGAGTTTAAAGATGACTGCAAGAATTTTATTACTCAGGTTTAGTTTGGGAGCAAGACCCTTGCCTTGACTCCATGACTCCTAACAAAAGAGTCACTGCTGATTGGCATTCTTGCTTCAAAACCTGAACCAAGAACCATGGCCTGAAAATCATGATGGATTGCTTGTCCCAGGTCTGGGTCACTGTTTCATCCCAAAGCCCCTGACTGTGAATGGGGCCAAGGTGAGTCTACAGACATGACTGATACTTTGGAGCACAGTGCATGTTGGATGAGGTAGTGAACAACCTTCTGTGTCAGGACCCTGCAGACTGAAGACATCTAAATGTCATGTGCCCACCCCACCCCCACCCTGTGTTCTAGACAATCAGTGATGTCTGGTAAAAGAGATGTGTTCTGAGCGGTCCACGATAGGCTGCCTATCAGCTGCCTTTGCCAATACAGACTGTAGGGCAGACCAAAGCAAAGCTGGATGGCTTTCCCAATGCTTGTCTTCAGCCTCCCAGTCTCTTCCCCGTCACTTCGGCCTTCAGCACCCTGTCATCTGCCTTAATAATTTCTTCTTCCACATTCCCAAGTCTTGTGTCAGAAGAAGGCTCTAGTTATGCTTATTATATAAACCTGGAGCGTGGTGTCTCAGAGATATATATATATATATATATATATATATATATATATATATATATATATATATACTGTAGCTGAAAGTTTTTTCCTGTGTTCCTCCTGGTCCGCAGCAGCTCAGACCCGAGTAAACACACAGAGGCTTATATTAATTAAAACTGCTCGGCCATTAGCTCAGGCTGCCACTGACAAGCTCTTACACTTAAATTCAGCCCATTTCTGTTAATCTATATGTCGTCACGTGTTCCATGGCTTTACCTGTCTGCTATTACATGCTGCTCCCTGGACAGTGGGCTGGTGTCTCCTGACTCAGCCTTTCTCTTCCCAGAATTCTCCTTGTCTGCTTATCTTGCCTATACTTCCTGTCTGGCTACTGGCCAATCAGCGTTTTATTAAACCAGTGTACAAAAGCATCATCCCACAGCAGTAAAGTGTGAGGCTGATCTTGATAAAAATCCCTCCAGAATGGAACACTTGTGAAACAGAGCTTCCCACAGCACTTTCATGACTGTACACATCATCCAAGTGGCACTGAGTGAGGACACTCTAGTATTTCATATTGAGTTTACAGGCATACCAGGAAAATCAGCCTGCCCACTCTGAAGTCATGCTTCCATTACGTTCACCTTTTACGGTGTTCGGCAGGATTGTCTAACATGATGAACCCAATAAAGCCCAAATCCACCTTCAAGGATCAAAATTTACAACTCACAATCTCACTTCCAAAAGTTACCCTTTGTGCATGAGTGGCGCTTGCCTCACTGCTCTCATTGTGTATCCCAGCAACAGGCAGCCAACACAGTCAGCCTTACCTATACGGTCCCACAAACTGCCTTTCTACTGGGGTTGCCTGGCATGCCTAAAACATCAAGGATCCAGAGGGAGTTCTAATGGGTCATCAAGTTTAAGCTGGCTCATGAATTATCTCCTGGCAAGTGCCTGTCCACTCGACACCTCTAGAGACATAGAATTCATTTGAGGTTTGTTCTGTTTCAAGAGAGATCGACTGTTTGAATAGAAACAGAATTGCCTGAAGCCGAGCTCCATGGGTCTGAATTATGCTTTGGGGACAACACAGAATAAATGTAATGTCTATTCTTTTACACAGTAGACCTTTAAATACAGCTAAGGGGGCTAGGGGAAGAAAGGGGGAGTGGATCTTCTCTTTCCCAAATAAAGTGCTCTCTATCCTTCCCTCCACCCGCCTCCTAGCAGTAATAGTTAGGAGACCACTGAAAACCTAGCACCAGGCTTGCCGCCACTGTGCATAGAGCAAAATTCCATGTGATC